GAAACTTGGAGAAGTGGTCTTGCATTTATGATGGCTGTGATTTCGGCCATGAGTGTGGACAACACTTCGTGAGTCAGTTGCGACTTATTTTGAAGTAGCATGGAGTCCAGGATTCTGCGGGCGACGCCGATCATGCGCTCCCAAGAGCCTCCCATGTGTGAGGCATGTGGCGGATTAAATTCCCAGGTACAACCTTGATCTGATAGATATTGTTGCATTGATTTGTCCATTCCTAGTTCTTTCGAAGCTCCAATGAAATTGGTGCCACGATCGGATAGCAGCTGTATTGCGGGGCCTCTTAGTGCAAAGAAACGACGTAGGGCGTTAATGCAGCTGGATGTGTCTAGAGATTCGATCACCTCTATATGCACAGCTCTCGAACTCATGCAGGTGAACATGATAGCCCAACGCTTGCTTTCGGCATGTCCGCCCCTGGTACGCCTTGTCGTTATAGTCCAAGGCCCAAAAACATCAAGGCCGACGTAGGTGAAAGGAGGACATGTTTTGAGGCGTTCGGGTGGTAGGTCTGCCATGCGTTGTTGTTCCTGTTTTCCGCGCAGCTTGCGGCAGATTATGCATTTGTGGATTACTGAGTTTACTAGTCTTTTGCCGCCAATGAGCCACAAACCTGCAGCCCTGATTGCTCCTTCCGTCAGATGACGGCCTTGGTGTTTCACCAACTCGTGGTGGTGACGAGTGAGCAGAAGGGAGATGTGACTGTCTTTGGGGAGAATTACTGGGCTTTTCTCAAAGTTCTCAATTTCGGAGTGTTTGAGTCTGCCTCCCACGGTAATGAGACCGTTCTGTAAGACTGGGCTGAGCTTTTGTAGGGGGCTCTGTTTTGAGACTGGCTTTCCAGTGTTAAGAGCAGAAAGCTCCTTTTGAAAGTGAGCCTTTTGTGTCTCTTTGAGAATAACGTTCTTTGCTTGAGCTATTTCCTCTGCAGTACGTGGGAGGTGGCATCTGTGCCAGCCTTTGCATACACTGTTTGGGTTAGTCCCATTGAAGGATTTTGCAATGTGGACAAGATTTGCTATTGCTCTGACCAACGACTTGAATGTTGAAAACATCTCGAAGCGTTTACTGCTTAGTACTTGGAGATGAGTGGCGTAAGTTTTGACTTGTGGCCTGATTTCAGAGTCTTTGTCTGGTTCAATCAGCTCAAATGTTTCACTGACATGTGTTGTTTCCACAGAAGAATGGTGTATGAAGGATGGTCCAGTGAACCATGTGGACTTTGTGAGTTGAGCTGCTGGCAAGGACCTTGACGCATGGTCTGCCGGGTTTTCCTCTGTGCGCACATAATACCACTGCTCCGGCTTTGAAGACTGGCGAATGCGCTGTACTCTGTTGTGGACATATGTGTAGAATCTTTTTGACTCGTTACAGATGTAGCCTAGTACTACCTTACTGTCTGAATAAAAGCGCACTGCGTCGAACTGTAGATCTAACTCATCTTGAATGAGATCAGCCATTTCTACTGCCAAGACGGCTGCGCACAGTTCTAGTCTCGGAATAGTAGGTTCTGACAAGGGAGCTAGCTTTGCTTTGCCCATTATGAATCCGACCTCAACTTTGCCATCTGTTTGAACTGCTTTCAAGTAGGCTACGGCTCCTATCGCCTTAGTTGATGCGTCTGAGAATAGGCATAGTTCTTTGTGCGTTGTTTTACTGAGTGAGGTAGAAGTGTAGGTCCTAGGAACATGTAGATCCTTTAGGTCCTGAAGGGAATTTCTCCATGTTTCCCATTTACCTTGTTTGTCCACTGGAAGGGGTGTGTCCCAATCCGAGTTTTCTGAAGTGAGTAGAGCTCTTCCTTGGATTGTGATAGGTGCTAATAGGCCCAGAGGATCAAAGACACTATTAACAGCCGACAGAACGCCACGCCGAGTGAATGGTTTGTTTGTGGTGGCCACTGAGTAAGTGAACGTGTCCGTTGTTATTTCCCAGATGAGGCCAAGGCTTCGCTGAGATTGTGTTTCTTCACCACCTAAATCTAGATCCTTAATGACTGGTGCACAATCTTCAGGGCAAAAGGCCTGCATGACTGCCTGTGAGTTAGACGCAAACTTATGCAGGCGCAGGTTGGATTCTGCGAGTGAGGCTTGTGTTCTTTGCAACAAGTCTATAGCCTCAGCAGGAGAGGGCAAAGAGATCAAGCCATCATCTACATAAAAGTGCCTCTCCACAAAGTTGACTGTGTCAGCACCATATTCCTTTGCACCTGCTTTAATGGCTTTGCGTAGTCCGTAAACGGCAACTGCGGGAGATGGTGAGTTGCCAAATACATGAACTTTCATGCGATAGTCAATAACTTCCTTGTTTACATCATTGTCCTTATGCCACAGAAAACGGAGGAAGTTACGGTGGTCCTCACGCACCATAAAGCAGTGGAACATTTGCTGTATATCCGCCATGACAGCAATGCTCTCTGTCCTGAAGCGGAGAAGGACTCCAATGAGCGTGTTGTTTAGATCGGGACCAGTGAGGAGAACACTGTTGAGTGAGACACCGGTGTACTGGGCACTAGAATCAAAAACAATCCTGATCTGATTTGGCTTTTTTGGGTGGTAAACTCCGAATGTTGGGAGATACCAACACTCCTCTCCCTGTGTTAGTGGAGGAGCCACTTCTGCGTGACCATTGGATAAGATCTTTCCCATAAATGCCAAATATTGTCCCTGCATATCAGGTTTCCTATTTAGGTTGCGTTTTAGGGATGAGAACCTACTGACTGCCTGCTCTCTATTGTTTGGCAATCGCTGGCGCGGTTCTTTGAAGGGAAGCGGGGCGACCCAACTGTTGTCCTCGTCTCTGTACATAGCATTGTCCATTATTTCTAGGAACAGAGTGTCTTGTATTGAGAGAGCTGGTTTATTATCATTTTCTGTCCGACTGAACACTGTTTGTCCCAGAGTTTGTTCGGATGCTTTACCTGGCCTATTTGTGTGTGACATTTCTTTGAGTTGCAGAAGGCTGTCACATGGACCGAAAACTGTAGGACGGCCATTTTCCAGAACGACAGTTTTTAGAGTGCTAACTGTGGGCCTATGAACTTTACCCAGACATACCTCCCCAACTACAACCCACCCTAGATCTAAGCGTTGGGCGAAGGGTGCGTTATAGGGGCCATTGACTCTCTGCCTGACCTTGTGAGCACGTAAAACATCTCGCCCTAGCAGCAGGAGTATTTCAGCATTTGGGTCTAGCTCTGGGATGTACTCGGCTATATGCTGAAGGTGTGGCTGGCATAGCACTGCACTAGGGGTTGGGATTTCACTCCTATTGTTGGGAATGTCCTGACACTCAATAAGCGGAGGTAGAGGGATAACCACTGATCCATCTAGTGACTCAACCTGAAAGCCTTCAGCCATTTTACCCCATGTTTCTGCAATACCAGAGCATGTCCTAAGATGGTAGGAGAAGGGTTCAGTTTTGATGTCAAAAAGTTCAAAGAACTCTGGCCTGGCCAAGGAACGATTACTCTGATCGTCTAATATTACATAAGCTTTCATAGCTCTGTCCTTGTAACCTTTAGGGTACACCCATGTGAGACATATCTTAGAACATGAACGACCCCACTGACCTGGACCACACACGTCTGTGCAGCTTGTTGTGACGTTGACTGTGTCGGGACTGTTTTCTCCCTCCCCGCCATTCTCTTGTGCAGGTGGAGGAGCCTTGTTAGCCTGTGGTGGAGGACCAGGATGCATGACTGTGTCGTGTCTTGTACTATCACATTCAGAGCACTTTACTGTAGCCTTACAGTCCTTAGCAAGATGAGTGTCTGAAGAGCAGCATTTGAAGCATATTCCTTTCTCTTTGAGGAAGGCCTTTCTCTCGTCCAGCAGTTTGTTCCTAAATGTTCTGCATTTTTTGAGCGGATGTGGCTTGTTATGCAGCGGGCAGTTCCTGTTGATGTCCTTGTTGGGGGGTGAAACATCGGTTTTGTGCACAGTTATTGGTCTACTTGTATTAAAGTTCTTTAAGTAAGGTTTTTCTGTTTTATAATGTGTTTGGCTGTTTTGTTGGTTGAAACTAGGATCGTTGCGTTTCTTTGCCTCTTTGCTTATGAATTTACAGAAATAGTCAAAAGGTGGGAAACAGCCATTATTTTCCTCCTTGTACTGAGAGCCGTGTGACATCCACTTCTCCTGAAGTCCGAATGGAAGTTTGTCTACGACTGGTCCAATTCCGCGAGAAGTGTCCAGATACAGTAGGCCAGGGAGATATCCGTCTTCCTTGGCACCTTGAATCTCTTGCAAGAGATCCCCTAGCTCACGGAGTTTGACATGATCTTTGACTGTAATTTTGGGAAAACTGTCCAATCGCTGGAAAAGTGACTTTTCGATTATTTCGGGTGCTGCATAACATTCGTTTAGTCTCTCCCATGCTTTGCTCAAGGCTAATGTGGGGTTGTTGACGTATACTGAGCGTATGCGTTTTACCTGGTCACTTGACTCCTTTCCCAACCATTTTGTCATGAGATCCAGCTCTTGAATGGGACTGATTTGAACCTCAGCTGTGGCACTAGTAAATGAAGAGCACCATGCTCTGAAATTCTCTGGCCTATCGTCAAATTGGTAAAGGCCTGAAGTGATGAGATCTCGGCGTGCCATATACTGGGCAAATGGCTCAGCTGGATGTGAGATACTGGCCGGTGCGTTATAGTGAGGCGTGAATGGGGAGCTGAATGGGTTGAGAGAGGTATTTGGTTTCTCTAATTTGAATTTGGTTTCACTTCTAAACTGGCTGGGCATGCTGTGATTAGTCAAGGCAGCAACATTGTCCTTAGTAAGCTTGGGTTCAGAACTAATGGGTGGCGGCTCTAAATTGCCTTCTTCTGGGGGATGCCATGTTACAAAGGTGTTGGGTGAGCTTACTTGTGGGCGCGAGGTGGTCGGTATTTCTGGAGCAGACTGTGATTGTTCAATGTCCCTTTGAGATCGCACATATTCGCTTGTACGTTCTAATTTGACTTTTCCAGATGATTTCCTGCTCTCTGGCTCCTCTTGTATTGCCTCAGCTTCTTCTAGCACTTGTGCCTCAGCTACTGCAGCATCGGCTTCTCTTTGCAACGTTAACATTTCCAATTCTGCATCTATTTTAGCCTTTTCCAGATCACTTCGTGCTTTTTCCACTTTCAATTGTGCTTCTTTACTTGCATAGAGAGCTCTAACCTGTTAGGGTTTATTATTTAGACATCATGTGCACTGTTAATTTGTTTGTCAGATTAGACAGAGCAGAAGGCCTTCCTTCACATTGTGGATATCACGGTGTGTACGGAGGTCATCTAATCAAGACAGCCTTTGTGTCTCTAAGAGTACAAAGGATATGGGCACATCTTGGAGCCGGTCTGATAGGAGAGCTGCTGTATCTGTAACCCTGAGACAGAGAGGCAACCTGCATGGAGTTCAAGACATGGATGGCGTGTCAGTTTCTGATACGGACAGCTAAGCATCCACATGATGCGACACAGACTCAGAAGGTATAAGAAGCAGGTGATGACGTTGTTCGGGGCTCAAACTTTGCCGGACGCTTGCGGACGTGATTTTTGAGACCACAGCTGTGCATAGCTCTAAGTATTTTTCTCTGTCCTGTAACGACCTGATCTAGAATAAACTCTGTTACTTTTTTACTCCTGTTTTTATAGTCCTTTTTTATATGGTTTTAACGAGTTTGAGTTAAGAGTAGTAAATAACTTGCTCCCAGGAAAAGAACCGTGTGAGGAGGCCCCGGGGCATTACAGCCTTTACTTTGAAGGGGACAAATCCTTCTCACTTTAACAAATTGGTGTTTCCGCCCGTGACCTGGAAGCAGGACAACAGAGCCACCGACGGAAAAAGCTCCACAGCCTGCGGCCGAAACAACTGATAAGGTGAGGAGATTCCTTATTACAAAATATCTCCAGTGTTTTACTGTTAAAACACTTTGGCTGTGTTGTGATTTTCTGAAGTGAGCTGAAGCTTTTTATGCAAAAGAGGACAGAGAAATTGCTCAGAGTGATTTTAGTTTTTGTTTTTGCGGTTTTTGTTTTGTTGTATTTGTTGGTTTTTAATTTTTTTTTACATTGCGAACGTGTACACATAAAAAAAAAAAAAAAGAAAAAAAAGAAAAAAAAAGGAGAGAGAGAGAGAAAGAAAGTCGTGCGTTCTGCTGTGGGTAGCGGTTGAAAGTCCGACTGAAGGCGACTGCGCAAACGTCTTCAAGAACTATACTATTCACTAGGATAAGTTGGTTGGAGAGCCCAACGGTTTCTGCATGCAGAAAGGGACGGTGATTTTATTCCCGGTCTGCCTGCAGACACGAAAGATGCACTTCTGAAAACAGACGCACAGACAGAAACCAGTCACATAGCCGGCTAGAGTTTGCCAGTATACCTCCCATAAGGACATTTACGAAAAACCGAGACTGGAAATAAGCGAGCGGATCAGGTTGAAACGGACCTTTGAGGTATTTTTCTCTTTTCCTTCTCTTCTCTTATAAAAGGAAAAGAGAGAGATGATAAAATGCTATTCCTCATAAAACTAGAAGAGACTGATGCCCGGATTAGGTAACTTGTTTGTCTAATCCTCAAAGTTGGTGGAGTGAACTAGGCGGAACTATATCTAAATCTTTTCTTTTTCTCTAAATTTCCTTTCTTTTTTCCTTTTCACTGACGGACGCATTTTTTGACGGACACACTTCCTTGACGGACACAGTTGTTGACGGACGCGCTTCCTTAGCAGAAGAGCGGCTCACTGAAGGTTGTAGGGAAAAGGTTTAAAGCCCAGAGGGATCTCACGTAAGACGTCGAAGTCTGATCTTATACACTGTGTGAACGGAAGGTGTTGAAGATGGATGCATGTGGACTAGAAATTGAATCCAGAAACACCTCGTTAAAAGCGAGTCTGGATAAAGGGAGAAGTATGATCATGGCGAGTTATCCATTGAAGGATGCAGAACACCACATTAGAAAATTTGATGAATGGGTTGAAAAAATGAGAGAAGATGGAGTGTTTGGGGAATTAGAGGGGCCCCCTCCAAACACTTCACAACGTGGTTTTTATTTGGATACACTAAAAAATAGATTGTCACAAGCTCGTGAAAAAATGGCTGGTGCTGGTGTGTTCGGACGAGACAAACACCAGAAGGAAGAAACAAAACTTTTGGATTTGATTAGACAAACCAAGTTCAATTTTAGTAACTATTTTTCTGACAAGGACCCTGAACAGGAACAGGTGGAGCAAAACGGGGCTCAGGGAGGTGAGCAGGCACTCGACACTTCAGAGGGTAAGAAAAACCTTTCATGAGTACATCTAATATTGCAGAAACAGAGCCTATTATGGACCCCAGTCCACACCAAGGTGTCAGAGAAATGTTTCGTAAGGCTGGTGATGCAATGATTCCATCAAACCCATGTGTGCAGATGCCTGTTATGGAGTTGCGTGAAGGTCAGATAAATTGTGAAGTAAGGCCTACAGAGGAAGAATTGGGACAAGAGGTACGAAAGGAGTTTCAGATGCAAGATTTAATAGAGGAGGCGGTAAATAAAGCATTTCAGCATTTCAGTTCGCTATTGTTATGAAAATGTCGATGTTTCTGTGATTTTTTGGAGGTGAACCTTGGAAAGGAAAGCTTAAAATATAAGAGGTTGATATATTTACAATTTACGATGTCTTGAAATTAACATTTTAAAGGTAAGAAGATCAATTAGTACATTTTCAGTGCTGTAAACCCCAACCCCGGCCCAACATTGAGCTCCAGAAGGTGGATCACACAGAGCAGCCGTTCACTTAGAGGCAGGAGAGAAAAGAAAAAGAAGACACAGAGAGACTGAGTGCACACAGGGCCGATCACAGCAGAAGCAGGGCCCAGGAGTCTAGAAGCAGTTTTTACCTTAAAGACATCTACCAATTACTACACTAGAATGGTATTGTAATCTGCATTTAGAGTGACTGATTCAGGAGCTTATATTTGAAAATGTTAGACCACACAAGCTAAGTTTGTCAAACTGTAGCAAAGTGAATATAAATTAAACACTGATCACTGAGGATACTCTAAGGTGGATTAAATGGATCTTTACTCAGTCAACTGTTCAGAATAGAGTGGGTTACATCAAATAGATAAATTAGGAAGGGTGAGTTCAGTGGATAAAAGAGAGGCAGACAGCAGTAGATGAAATGGAGGGTGAGTTGGATAGAGAAGGGGAGAAATGGGCAAAGAAGATCGAAGTGCGGGTTCAGTAAGAATTAAAGAAAGGAAGTCAATGCAACAACACTAGGGAGGCCGGGATCCCACTATTTGTTTAGTTATGGAGGTAGTTTTTGAGAAATTTCCAGCAGCAGTGATAGATATTTTGATTGAGGGCAGCAACTGTCCTTTTATGGTTAATACGGGGGCCAGATACAGCCCCATGAATCTTTATGTGCCCACCTGGCAAAAAAAAAAACTACACGGGTAATGGGATTTTCAGGAGAAAAACAAAACATACCACTTTTTCAGAACCCCTTAGAGGTGTTCTCATATTTGAAAATTCAAACATGTCATTTTTGGGGGACGTTTAGAATTAAAAATCATTGGGTGTGAAAAGTTATTTTGGTGTCTAATGTGAGCAAATAAATCTTAGGTTTCCATAAATGTGCACATATAGTTTAACAAGGATCCTAAAATGAGGCTGAAAAGCACCGGTGCAGAGGTCTTAAGACTGGACTGGTGAAAAGATTATGACTTTTTGTTTAAATTGGGAAAAACAATCCTCTAAGAAGATAAATCTACATTGATACTGATGGATTAAACAAACTTTATGTGGCCAATGTCTGTCTGTCTGTCCTAAATGTGGAATGCATGTGAGGTAGAATGTGTGTGGTGAAGTTGGGAATGATTAAGAATATTTTTTGATGTGACATTAACATGATTTGCATTTTTACAGGATTGAGAAGGAGCTCTGGGGGCATAACAGAAGGGTAATCGTATCAAACATGTTGCTCAGGGGCCCCACCTATGAGAGGCCCTGACAAGACCAGAGCAGGTTGCTGTTGTAAGGTGTGAGGTAATTTTTGGGTGTGGAGTGCAGCTGAGATACTGTAGATTAATAGATTATAGATTAGAAAAATAATTAAATATTTAAGTAATTATCAAGAAAGAAGCAGAATGGGTGTTTTTTACTTTTTGGGAAACTAAAATCTCAGACGAGGGCATTACATGATTTAATTTAAAGGTAGTTTCATTTTCAATCATTAGAATTGCATTAGAGATTGATTAGTTTCATTTTTCTCTCATTAGGATTTCATTAGAGATTGATTAGGGACAGGATAAATCACTCTTCGAGCTGGAACTGGACACAGCATATGGCCAAGATACCCGCAGGAGCTCAGCAGATTAGCGGGGTCAACTTTTATAAACAAGGCTGGAGAGTTAAGAACAATTTCAGTGTGACCTGACCCTGGGTTTTTTCGGCCTTCAGTTTTATCCATTATTATTTTTATCTGTGTATAATGCCGTTTGGAAACTGCCTAGGCACGGACTGATTAATTTGCATCTCTAATCATTACTAACACTAACACTTTTCACTGTTCATCTGGGCCTTACCTTCTTTGCATGACTTGTTAAATTCTACTAACTTTACAAATTTCTGTGAATGAAGTGATTAACTATTGACTAATTGATGTACTTTTTGATTGCTTTTTCCTGGTAACAAACCAGAGGGGTCATTTACTTTTTCCCAGCTTGTAGAGAGTGACAGTGCGGCTGTCAGGGAGCAGGCAGGATTATTCAGAGGCCCATTTAAGGAGGATCAGGAGATCATTTTGCTTAAACATGTTCTTTTTTCTTTTTCAGGCTGTGTTTGTAACAATCCTTAAATGTTAACATTTTTTCTTCCAGGACAGGCTGACAAAAGTCTCATCCTTCATTGTGTTTTGTTTAAGATGTGCATTAACCCTTATTTTCCCAACAGCTGCAGAAGTTCTGGCATGTGAAATGGACAACTTGGCTGAGAGTGACTAGAGCAAGAGAGAGAGGGGGGTTCAGATAGTTGAAAACTTTTTGATAGGAGGATTTGAATAGGTTCGAACTGACTGGACTGACTTGGTTAGTAACTGGACTGGATCGGAACCATGGATCAGGACATGAGAGAGATGGTGTGAGAATGCAGCATGCCAGAGACAGGGTGTAGAGATTGTGGCTGCATGTTTTGTTCCTGGCTGAAGGCCATTCTGGTGAGCTCTGAGTTTGTTTTAATTCCTCTCTGGTTCTGATATGACCTATGAGGTACAGATTGATGTGGTGGTTTGAAGCTCACAGACTTTTGTTGGGGTGGAACATTAAGAGCAGTCATGCTGACAGAGGCATTTAACGACTGACAAGATGAACCAACAACTATTTGGAGAAGTCGGAGGCACCACTGGGGTTTTTTGTTGTCTTACATGTTTGTCGTTGTTTGTGTCTGTATGATTGTTTGTTTGTTTTTTCTGTTCGTTTACTAACATCTTAGCCTTTATGAGAAAAAAAAAAAAAGACGTGGCACGCATGTTAAATTTTTTTTTGAATAGTTTTGACTACACTACGGATGGGAATGTTTCAAAATGAACAATGGATCTTTGTTTGGAGAGACATTGGACACTTTCTTTCTTGAGTCGCAGGATGGATTAACCTACAAGGGGCACAGAGACAAACTTGCTCCTAAACTACAGAAGGAGGGATGGTTTGCAGCTGCTGAGATGGGAACATTAAGGAAATGACTGGATGCCCACTGCTTTGGACGAGAAAAGAACACTGGCAGTGATGGGTTGATGGAGGTCATGGGATCATCAGACAAGACGGATGAAAAAAAAAAGTTAAGTGAACTGACACACCAGATTTCTTATTCACAATGAAAAACTATGCTAAATTTTCTTTATATCATCAGGGGGTGGGGTATTCTTAAATAGAGGAATAAAAAAGAGGATTTCGAGATGTTTTACTATGTGATAAATTAGACTGGGTTTTTTGATAAATGGTTTGGTCAGTTGTTAATTAGCATAATATTATTAAAGGGACAACAAGTTGAAACTTTAACTTTTGGGAATGGTAAAGTTGCATCAACAGAATGCAATTTAGGGGAAATTATAACATTTTAGGAGCAAATGTTTAAAGCAAATGATGGTTTCTTTTCAAAATAAGCAATAACGATGAAGACTTAATGAGTTAATGAGCTTATGGGGATTCAATATCAGGCCCAGGGACTAAAACTTCACCATTTATTTTATCTTTTTATTTTATTTTTATTTGTTTTGATAAATTTTAATTGTTTTTTGCTTGTTTTGTTTTTTTTACTGCGGGCAGAGTTATAAATAGCATTTGAGGGGCTATATACAATTTGGGGGATGGTTAACCATACTTTTTATGCATGAAGCAATAAGAACACCTGACTTTACTTCACTAGAGCTGCAATTAATACTTTAGAGGAGATGCACACTTTAGTGTTTAGTTTATTTGAGATAACACATATGAGAAGAGATTATGTTTCCTGCACATTTTTGGATCTGGTCAGGGGTCCAGATATGACAACTATTGACTGGTTCTGGGGATGTTGGAACAGATTTTCTTTTTTCTTGTTTTTATTTTGTTCTTTGTTCTTTGTTTTTGTTTTGTTTGTTTTTTCTCATCGGAGCACTGCTTTTTGGAGAATATTTTAAATGGACTATAGCTGGACACTTTGCATAGAGGGGGTGCAGTCGAATTCAACACCTTCAGGAACTGTGTACTGCTGAGTTTTGGGAATGCAGCAGCAAGTCAGAGTACAATCCTGTGCTCTGAGCAGATGAACAATTTAATATGACATTTCCTCTTGAAGGGAGGAACATCTTTGACGCATTGTTTCCTTCTACCTCTATGTGATACTGCTGATGACACAGGTAAAGACTTATCCTTCAGGGGGTGTGGGGACACATGGCCCCAAGACTCTTATGGTTCAAAGCTGCTGTGGTAACAGAGGGAAACCTGATGGACTTGTCCAAACATCAAACTTTTTTGCATGTTGGAGAGGATCACTGCTCCAAGAAACACCTTTTCTTCCAAACCAGTAGCGGGATGGCTCCTGACCAGTTTCCCATGTATAGATCCACTCACATAGACACACACACATACTGTCACGTAACAACACGCCCACACACGGTTAACGACTGGAAGAACACACAAGGGTCCACATGGGAATGAGGTTTTCTTTCATGCACTAACATTCACGGATACAAGGTCTGGTGGGGGAGTTTTTTAATAGGGGGAATCTGCGCCAAGCTGGGTTTTTTCCTTAGAGATTAAAGAACTTCTAATAATTTTCTGGGGAGGGTGTAGCAGTAAACTAAAATGCAGTTACAAGTTTAGACGAGACTAAAACTTAATATGCTATGATGTAGAAATGGTTTTAAAATTCATTTATTTAATCCATGAATTGAGTGTTACAATGTGTAAAAAAGGGTTAAATGTTTTCTAAATATTTACAGGTTCCTTGAATTAGATTATATTAGTTGCAGTGATTTTGGGCTTATATGATGTTTTTGGGGATTTCTTTTTATTCATTTTTATTTTTTGTTTTTTGAATAGACACTGAAATAATCTGCTGAAAAAACACAGAGTCCATGGAAAATTAATTTAAATGTAGGTTAATGGTGATTTAAGGGATAAGGGAAAGTAATTGTGGATAAGAATATCTGGTTGTGACTGCACTTAGATTTTGAGTGAATAAAGAATTGCTCATTGAAGACATTGTTTATTGTGATAAGAACACTGACTGCACTCTCTGTGTGTCGAAGGATCCAGGAGGAAAGGATTGATGAACTGTGATGAGAACATTCCAGGAGAACCACCACATGGATTCAGCATCTATCGGCCGCTGGACTGCATGGAGACCAAAGTGGCCGTGGAGGAGGCCATACGAGACTCTGATTGATTAATTTGATTGATGAGTGATAGAGACACTGAAAGAATTCATCATCATCAGTGATATTTATCATTTGTTTTTAACTCGGACCAGGATAATTCTTGATTTAACCTAATTGTGATGTATATGTTTTGATTTATTTTGATTTTGTTTTGATGAAGATCATGGAAACATTTTGCTCCAGACCCACCAAGATCACGTTTTATGCCACTTTTTCTTTGATGTAGGAAGACTCTGAACCTTACAGGTTCTTTAAGTAGTTGGTAAGGATAATTATCAGATTCAAAACGGGGTTTTCTTGCTCAGATTGGCCGAGAGTGGGATTTCCCCGGGGTCACCCCGGTTTTTACTACCTTTTAGAGAGGGTAGCGTTTTCCGGTGGAGAACGGCCCAACCTGTCCTGCGACGTCCCCTACTGTGACTGACTGGTTGGTAAAGTTGAATAGATGGTTTATCCATGAGGAGCGGTCACATTTAGGAGGCCTCCAGGTGGGGGTGAGAGTAGATGAATTTGGCCTTATTAGATTTATAGGCTTAGGTTATCTAGTCTAAGATAACTTAAAATAATGTGCGCATAGGAAACTAAAACAGCTTTCCTTTAATTAGATGACACCCAAATTGTAGTTAAATGCTGAAACTGTGGTATTGAGTGAGAACATTTGGTCTGTGAAGCTTTGATTGTGATTACTTTTGATTCCTAATTAATGATACTTGACTAATTATAGATGCTCTCTGGGTCACCCGGTCCTTCGAAGATGTGCCGCTTCCTGTGTTTTTTAAGTTACCTGTAAAAACGGTAACTTATCAGGGGGAGTTGTTAGGGTTTATTATTTTGTGCACTGTTAATTTGTTTGTCAGATTAGACAGAGCAGAAGGCCTTCCTTCACATTGTGGATATCACGGTGTGTACGGAGGTCATCTAATCAAGACAGCCTTTGTGTCTTTAAGAATACTCAGGATATGGGCACATCTTGGAGCCGGTCTGATAGGAGAGCGGCTGTATCTGTAACCCTGAGACAGAGAGGCAACCTGCATGGAGTTCAAGACATGGATGGCGTGTCAGTTTCTGATACGGACAGCTAAGCATCCACATGATGTGACACAGACTCAGAAGGTATAAGAAGCAGGTGATGACGTTGTTCGGGGCTCAAACTTTGCCGGACGCTTGCGGACGTGATTTTTGAGACCACAGCTGTGCATAGCTCTAAGCATTTTTCTCTGTCCTGTAACGACCTGATCTAGAATAAACTCTGTTACTTTTTTACTCCTGTTTTTATAGTCCTTTTTTATATGGTTTTAACGAGTTTGAGTTAAGAGTAGTAGATAACTTGCTCCCAGGAAAAGAACCGTGTGAGGAGGCCCCGGGGCGTTACAGCCTTTACTTTGAAGGGGACAAATCCTTCTCACTTTAACAAACCTTAGCAGCTTCTGCTTTAGCTCGAGCGTGGGCAGCGCTTGCTGCTGATCCAGACGAGTGGCCGGTCCTGAAGCTGCGTGCAGACTTGTTGCTGGTAGCCATTTTGACCACGATGAATAATCGAATGGTGCCTTTTCACTGTAGTGTTTTCAACCTCGAAGATGTTGGTGACACCGAGTTAAACCGCTAATGAAGACCCAGGTGCGATTCAAGCGTGTTTATTGCCTTCATCGAAATGCGGTGAAAACTGTAATAACAGAAAATAAACTCAATCTCTATACATAGAGTCGTTGCATACAAATTAAAAGTCCATCAAACTGAATAAAGTGACATTTCAGCATAAACAACAACATAATGCAACTTACGGCATTCCTGTCTGATAATTCAGCGTGGATGGCATCAGATTTCACATTTCCATACCGTTTGCAGCACATGGACCTCTCTGTTTGCTAGCGAAACCCGGAACCGGAAGTGCGTCACCGCAAACCGGAAGTAGATTTTACCGATAATATTTTTCTATAAAAACGTAAATAAACTATGAATTATACATCTATTCAACTTCTAATCACTTTTAGCAGCATTAAAACATTTTTTAATATTATTTCTTTAACCCATGAACTTATCTATTTAACAAAATGCCTTAAAGGCAACACAACTTTACTACAACTGTTTTAATAACCCTGAAATGAGAACAGCTAAAATGTGATTCTACTTGCCATCTAAATGTAATCGTGGTCGGGTAGACCCTCCCCCAGGGCAGACACCTCGGCAGACAGCTGGTCCCTACATGGAGCACCACTGACTGCCTCCAACACGTTCTCCCCCTCCTCATCCTCTGGCATGTCGTCCTGCTCTTCATCCTCTGGGGCCATGATGTCACCAGCTCCCAGGCAGATGTTGTGCAGGACAGCACATGCCGTTATGACCTGTAGAAAAAAAAAGACAAAAAACATTTTATAGTATATTTGAAGAAATTAATTTAAAGCTTTTTATCATTTATCTATAAGCAATAATTATCTTATTTAGTAACATACCTGAGGCACAAAGGTGTGGTGCACCTCCAGCGCTTGGAGGAAGATGGCCCTGAACCTCGTCTTCATCATCCCAAAGGCACGCTCTATGATGGAGCGTGCCCTGGAATGATGGCTGTTAAAGCGCTGGGCTCCCACACCTTGTACCGGCCGCTTGAAAGGAGTGATGAGGGGGAGTGGGTGTTGGAGACAAGGGTACCCACCATCTGCCAAGATTAAGTGGCCCGGAGGAGGGTAGATGGCCCGCCTGTACAGTGGGCTGTTCCGGAGCACTCTGGAGTCATGCACCGACCCCGGCCAGCCCACGTACGTGTCGATGAAGCGGCCCTGATGGTCACAAACTGCCTGTAAAATGATTGAGGAGAACAGTTTCTCTGTGTCCTGCCAGCCCTTCAAACCCCTGGGTTACTGCTGCCAGGTCTTCTGCAGTTTTCGGGAGGCAGATGACTTGGTGGCGGATGGCCACCACCTCCTCAGTAACCCTGTGGACGATGCGGTGAACTGTGGAGCGAGGCATCCCGAACACCCTAGCCACCACTCTGTAGGATGCCCCACTCGCTAGCCAGAAGAGGAAGACCAAGGTCTCTATTGTGGCCCCCCATCCATGTTTTCTCTCCTGGCAGAGAAGGTCCAGCAGCACCGCCAGAGACTCTCTGCTCAGCCGAAAGTCTGGTCTGGTGTCTTCATTATTAAAAAATATCTGGAGAACGGGAACATTTAGGTTCATCCGGCAGTACATCGGCCTGGTCTGGATAGAGAGATGAAGGTTGAGAACAGGATTAGATGACAGCAATTTCATTTTAGCTGATACAATTCTAGTGAATGTTAACCCCTTAACGCCTGGTGTTGCCAATTTGGGACCAAACAATTCTGGCCTTTACTTATTTTACTTCATCTAGATCCACTATTTAACCTATTTTTTCGTTTTTATATTCATTTTACCTGTATTATTTTTCTGTTATATAATTGCAAATAAAATCAGGCAGTAAGTGGATAACAATTTAGACAAATAAGGATTTATTTCTCAATAATACAGTTTGCCTTCTCCACACAACATTAGTGATAGTGAAAGTGGTGATTTAAGTCAGTTATTTACAAGGATTGTAAACATTTAACTATTCAATTCAAATTACTAAAGTTACAAACAAGCTTATACCAAGTCTTATAAATATATATTTAAAATTTGATATTAAATGATATTCGTCAATCTGCTGACAAGTGTTTGATAAATAACTGGTATATTCTGATCGTTAGCAGACCCTAGTGGGGGAAAATATTAAAGGTAAATGTTACCTCTCCACTGCGCTCTGCCAGCCTCAAATATATTTGTCGCTGGTTTTGCTGCCGCCGAATCCGACTCTCCTCCTCCATCATCAGGTAAATAATATAAAATAAAGTAAAAATTGCAGTTTCCATTTCGCTAGATCAATCAATCGTCTGATTAATGGCGCGGTTTTTCCCGGGCTTTGTGTAGACGTGATGACGTCGTGACGTAACCAGGAAGTGCTCCAAAGGCTAGACCGTCCCATTTACCAACGGCTGAGGATCCTCCGGAGCAGCCTACCGAGGCTGGGTCCTCCGTAGGCTAGGTAGGCTGCGTCCTCGGAAGTACGCAGTCTGCGAATTGAGACGCAGCTATTAACTCCGCGTCCGATGAATCTTCGCCAGTTGTCCCAGCCGTGGCTCTGGCATTTGATCGACACGAGAGTACTGCTCCAGATCAGTCACTCTAGACGCCAGCATTTTGATTTTGACATCTTTTTCTGCATTTTGAATGCGCTCTCTGCTCATCTGTACATTCACACCTCTCAGCGGCCATTTTGCATTACGTCTGCCAACTCGTCACTCCTTCTTCTCTTCCTCATTCTCTTCCTCATCTTCACCCTGATGCTGCTCAGCCTCTGCAGCACCTGGTGTGTCATCAGGGATGGAGGCAATTAGGACAGGTGGGGCAATAGAGGGCCCTGTCCTAATACCTCATCCATGAGGACAAACCATGGCCAGGTGTCAGCAGTAGGCTTCCCACTGCCCTGTCTGTTTTTTTGGCCTGTTGTGGCTCAACTTTTCCCTCAGGGCCCATTTTCTGCACAGATTGATCTACACAAGAGAAATGAGAAGAGATAAACACACTATGATTACTACTATCACAAATATAACATTTACAAAAAGTGTCATCTGGTCATCATTAAATGTAATCAAAAGATTATATTTGTACGTTGGTGTTTTAACAGGTCTTTTAACTTGTGTGACTTTTACATACAAATGCAACAAGTATATGGAATTATGCCTCAACTCTTCCCTCCATTCGACTGTGGCAGTATTTTTCGACTTGGTAAAGAGGTGGTAATTTTGCCCACAGAGTTTTATCAACTCCTCTGTTTCCTCCCTGCTCCCTGGAACAAAATGCTTGAGGTAAATAGAAGGCAATGCAAAGCTGTTTTTAGAGTGCTGAGTTCCGAAGAGCTTAAAAATCTATCCTTTATATTTTTTTCATATGTTCACAACAAAAGCCTAAAGATTTGTGTGTTTAGTTTAAAAGACAGGTACTCCTACAGCAGCATATGCAACACTTATGTTTCAAGAAACTGTATCTTTGACGAACTGAGTGGTAGTCCAAGCAGGAAGAGGAAGTTCTGAGCTGCATTTGACCTAAGTTGAAATGTCAGACCCTAGTCAGTCAGTGTTAGCATCAGTCATGAAGGTCCCAGCTATCTGCATCCTAATGTGTGAGTACAGATGTAGCAGTTTTCCTTTTCTTTTGCTGTACTTCTCCTTTTTTACTTTGAATGTTCAGCTTTTTTGTATCTCGCTGCAGTGATGAATATTTTTGCCTTACTGTCGACCCAACCTGCTCAGAGTTACTCTGTTAAGAAATCTGGTGAGTTGGAAACTGCTTTGTTTAAATTTGTTTTGCTAACATTGTTACAATGTTTTCAAGAATTAGTAATAATTATTTAAAATTAGTTAAAAAAATCTTGCAGAAATATTTTTTACAAACAATATAGGGTAACCAAAATTGCCCTAATAAAGAAAAAGTTTGCACATTTTTTTTAATTAAGATTATATAATCGTTTTTATCAGATATTTTTTATCATTACAGCTTTTCCCATTATCTATCCAGACAGACTTCAGTTCTTTGAGCACGAGTCTGTTCGTCTAAATTGTGGCAGAGACAAAGGAATGGATGTATGGAGAGTGATGAGAAAACCCAACAAAATTAGTCCAGAAAATGTTTCTGATGTCTGCCCAGCTCCAACCTGCACTATTGATTTTACCTTTGAAAGGCATAGTGGAGAATACTGGTGTGAAAATCATGAAGGAGTAAGAAGCCGTTCTCTCAACATTACTGTAACAGGTTTGAGTATATCAAATTATTTCAGTGTGTTTTTAAAATTTCTAAAGAATACTGCTTTAGATTTTTTCACAATGTACACACTATTGCAAAATGTTAGCCTGATAAACCAGACAAAATGTGAGATTAAACATTTAATTTAGTCTGGTCCAGATAAATGAGACATCAGAAGATTGTTGATGAGAACATCCCGTTGTTTTTCAAATTATGTCTCTGCCTATTGGCCAACGCTCTGACCAATGAGCGCAACTGACTGTGACGTAGGAAGCGTGAGAGGAAGCTGGTGGGGGAGTATGAACAAACAGCATGTTGGTTAAATAGCGAATATGTCCTTAAAAAATGAATGAGCGTAGAGTAGAGCCCTGCACTCCCGCAGGAGTCCCGCGGGACTCACAAGACCCAATGCAAAGCAGTGCGGCGCGGGAGTGGTGATAAGCGGAAGTCCCACGAACTAAAAACGTGTCTTAAATTGTAGAATAAAATGTAAAATGAAATCATAAATTATTAGCAGCTCATGCCACCTAATGGGCGTCATGCACTATGCAGTGAAGAACCGGCCAGTAATTTGTTCAGCTAAGCACAGCGTGTTTAAGTCCTCAAACTAATTACATGAATTGCCTTGAGCAGCAGGCGAACGTCGGAATCATATGGTAATTGCGGCCGGGAGCGGGACAAACTATTACAGATGCGGGTGGGAGCGGGACTGAAAATCATAATTCTTTGCGGGAGCGGGACTGAACGCTGCGGGAGAGGGCGGGCGCAGGACGGAACAATCTGTCCCGCGCAGGGCTCTAGCGTAGAGCCTCTTCCTGCTCACATTTCAACGAAAACCCGAAGTCTAATCCTCCCAAAACTGATTCCAAAGCTGAGTCAAACAAGAACTGTTAAATAGTTGTTGACATCTTCCATGTTGTGCTTCTTCCAGCGTCGCGCAGATTTGTCGTCACGCCCTCGAACCCTGCCCGCTTTGCACCCGAAAATTCAAAGCACATCTCTGCGTTGTGATAGGCCTGTTAATTCTAGGGCCTGGGGTATTGATCAAGGCTAGACCACTCGCAGGCAAAAATATTTTGGTAACTGGTGGGTGGGGCTAGTTTACTAGGCTAAAAAATGCCAATATTTGAAATACAAAATTTGAAACATAAATCACATTTGAGCATGTCACTTTAATCTGACCTAACACATGTAAAGTGAGAAAAGAAATGAAAAAATAGGAAGTGGTTAAAATTCATAAATTTTGAATGGCTGCTACTGTATGGGTTCAATACTTTTACCTTGATCTAATTGTATTTGCATCATATATATCTGGCACTTAACAGAGGTGTGTCAAGCCTTTTATATCTATTTAAAATAAGCATGTCAGCAATGGTATAACACTTTTCAAATGTCTCCCCCGCCTTCCCACAGATGGTCCAGTGATCCTAAATTTTTCTGCTCAACCAGTGAAGGAAGGATCTGATGTGATTCTTCACTGCATCATTAAGAACACAGAGAGGGCACATATTAGTGATTTTTATAAAAATGACATATACCTTGGAACCTACTTTGAACCTTATATGACCCTCTCAAATGTTTCAAAGTCTGATGAAGGACTCTACATGTGCACATTTTCACACGCTGGAGAATCTCCCGAAAGCTGGCTGGCTGTTGTTAAATCACAACAAGAGGAAGGTATGCACGTCTTTACTGGAAGTCCCCTTAAAGCCTTTGGGGCATGCTACGGTGGTAGCCATTCAACATGTCCCCACTTTCTTTGATGGGTCCTTGGCTGGTCGCTTACAATTCCTTTTTAAAGATCAGTTTTTTTACAAAAATACTCTTTCTGTCATGTTTTGTGGACATTAAGCTCTAAAAAGAAGCAGAACCTGTAATTCATTGAAAGGGTGTAGTCAGAGTATAAACATTTTCACACCCAGAAGGAGGGGGATACTCCAGTGGCTGGAAGTTGGAGGGGATTTTGCTAGGAGTTACAGTGAAGCCATTAGACTGGTAAGGGCCATTTTGAATGGCTGTTGTTGCTGTAGATGTAACATACTCAATTTCTGGTTAAAAAACAAGTTAACACTTGTTCCAGAGTAATGTAAATCTGTATAATTACCACCCCAATCATGCTATATTGGTTTAGCTTGATCTCATACTTACTGTTTTTTTTTTATTATTTGACAAAATAGCTAATTAAACCAGTATCACCCCGATACCGACATCCCAGCTGCGAGTGCAGTGATCAATATTTCTGACATTAGGGTCCAAACTAATAGGGTATCTATATATATTTCAGGTTTAGATCTCTTCCCCCCTACTGCTGGAAATCTGTAAGCAACAGTAACAGCTCATAACTGGTTCCTTAAGTATCCTCCCCATACAAATTTACCATTTTACTATTTGGAAATTTCTTCTCTTTCTGGCTTTTTAATAAAAGGTTAACGGATATCTTACCTAAATCCAGTCATTTGAGGAGCAAAATGCGAATGAAAGGGGTGAAATCTGTACTCGCACCAAGCTAATTTTAGGTACAAATGCGAGTAAAACGCTCACACTGTACAGTGCTGTTAAGAATGAATATGTCCATGTGAATGCTTCTCGGATGACGCTCAATGTTTCAGTCTGGAACTGTTACTTTTATGAATCCATCGGTATGAATGCATGGCTGCATTTAAAGTTCTAATTATAGGTTTGAACAAAATTAACTGATATTTAACACATCTTTAGTTATACATGTGTACTATAAACTAATCAGGATTAATCATTCGGCTAAATTTGGTCTAAATGACAAAGGATTGTTTGAGACACAAAAAGCGGCTAAAACTGGCCCTATAATTTAAACCTTGATTATTGGTCTCTAACAAAATATGTTAAATCTTCTTTTAGGATCTGATGAAGAGACACAGCCTCCGACACTCACCATATGGTTGTGTACCATTTTCACTCTCCTGTTCCTGTTTATTGGACTAATTCTCTACAAGAGATACAAAGGTAAAGCTAGCTTTCCACAAGATTCATGAATCTATTTTTTTAAGCATGGTGATGTATCTCTACAGAATGGGAAAACTGTCAATTAACTGATTAACTTTGCAAGCAGTTATTATATTATGAATTCTACTTAATAATATAGAGCTTTTTAGAACTTGCCAATCATTCATAGGAATGTATCATTCTGCCTGGGGCCTACTAAACATACTTCAATCTGAAAAACTCACATGAAGAGAAAAGCTAATTAGAAGAAATGTATAATGCTGGTGAAGAGTCTCAGTCATCCAGATCATAGTCATTCCAAGGAAACCCAAGTCCAGTGGATTGTTTTTTTTAAACTTTTACGGAAAGAAATGTATTGATACAATTACTTTGACTTTGGCACTCAGAACTCGGCAGGAAACATAGTGCTTAATTTTGATAGATGTGCACAAACAGGAGCAAAGAATAGGGCTGTCCCCCCCTCACCCCCCAGGCCTGAAACTGGTGGTGGAGTGGAGATAGATGAAGTTGGTCAGTCTGTAGACTGCCGGTTAGTGAGACGATCTGCTGAGCTTTATGGGGAGATCCAGTGGACTACGTGAGCTGATACTAGAGCTTCACTCAGGGACCTGGAAGATGGAAGTCCAGTTGGATAACACAGGTTGGGAGAAGCTGTCCATGATGAGCAAGCATGAAGCGACAGTGGAGAGGAAAAACTCCCCGTTAGGAAGAAACCTATTGCAGAACCAGGCTCAACATGGCGGTGGAGACAGGGAACACAGTAAGAGTCCGGGAGGAATGATACTCTGATGAAGCTTTAGCTACCATGGTGGAGGAGGGGCTGGGGGTGGGTTGAAACGGTGTCATCTGAGTGAAATCAAACAGCGCAACCACTGCCTGCACACAGAAGCAGACAGTTGCTGATCGGAGGCCTTTTAAGATGAACTTTGGATGCTAAATGGCTTTTGTGGAGGTGTGGTTCAAAGCTGATTGGCTGAGTCACAGCTGGATGTAGGAAAGCAACGAGTTTCTTCAGTTGAACTTCCTCCTAGGCTCGATATTAATTTATTGTTGGGATCAAATGAAACACAACAGCAGTGAAATATAATTGGGTGCACAAGTTTAAAATCACTTTGAAAAAGCAGAGAAAAAAAAAACTCAAATTTTATGGACCCTGTACAATTATTTAAAAATTAGATCCCGGATTCTTGATCAGTTTTTACAAAATAAAAGCAATATCCAGTTAGAAATACATCAGGTTTGTTTTTTGCAAAAGTTTCACAACAAAGAAAGATTTATGGTTCACTTGTTTTTCCTTTTTACATTATTGCAGCCTTGGAGAATGAAACTGTCACTTTTCCAAAGGATATAACTTGTGCTATGTTCAAGATACCCAGGAAGAGGAATGGTAGGTGTTTGTGTGTTTTTATGTCACTGTTAATATCATTTCTGCACATTTTATTTTTACATAATACATACCAGATGGGGACGCTGAAAATAAATCAGAAGATGCCACGTATGTAGCCGTTGAGTTAAAGAAGACGGGTATTTTTGCTATCACAACTATTTTAACTTAGCTGAGCAGATCTGTGGTGCAGGCTGTCTGACATGTCATGACATGCGCATCTAACACTCTCATGGTAGTAAATTTAACTTCTCAGAAAAAAACCCACAGGCCTTCAACAATAGCCCCCATATTTTCCATTTAGTCAACAATAGAAATCACTTAAACTTACTATATCAAAGTTGACTATGCAGCTGAAATTAATCAGATATGTTTTAACAAATACTTTTTTTTAAACAGCCAAGCTTTAACTGGATTAAGTTTATGCAAAAAGTTACAGAGAAGTTACAAATGTGATAAGATATGCTGTGGTTGTCTAATTAATGTCCTTTTTTTTTCTTCAATAAGGGTCAAAGGTTTCCGCTGTGACCACTGAGCAAGCGGTATCAGAGCAACAGACTGTAATGTATTCTGTAATCACCCTTGACAGAGGAAACTAGCTATTTGTCTGTATATTTTTGCAAAAAAGTGTTAACACTGGTCTTGATATAAAGAGTGACAGAAAAAGTGATGTTAACTTTCACATAACCTATGTTGTTTTTAGAGCTTCAAAAAATGTTTTGGGGCTGACTTTTAAAATGTAGATTGTTATTTTGCATCTATTTTCTGTTGTTGATGATCTTCAGCTTCCATTCTCAAATGTCTCTTTAATGTTTTTTATATGAACTGCGTTTCAATGTGCACTATATGTGGTGAACTGAATTTTAAAGCCACAAAGGTAGTCTTAAATTTCATGTGTGAATAAACTAAGATAAGTCTGCAATAGTTGTTGTAGCATTGCTAGGTGGCTCTCTCACACACACACGTTATTCACAAACAACTTCCTGTGAGTGAGCTGATTATTCTATTCTCCTTTATACTGTTGGTGGTTGGTGTTTGTTTTAAAAAAATAACTTCATACATTGACTGCACCGTCAAAAATTGTTCATTTCAATTCAGATTAATTTAAATACCCACTGCCAATTTACAGCAGTTCATCTCAAGGTACTTTACAGAGATAATTCAACCTGATACCTGAATATCAGCTGATTGTATCGACTTATTGACTTGACAGCAATCACTCACACCAAGCTTGTAGGAGGAACAGTGGAGGGGAAAACTCCAGTGTCTCATGGTCACTACCCACATAGCTGACCTAAATGCTCATTTCACTCACCTGCCTAACTCTGCCCAGTTACCCATTATCACTCATCTCATCAACCTGCTCCTTATGCTTTTTATCCGGCTCAGTCCAAGATATCGGTGCCAGATCTTTGATATTGTTGGTTAAGTTTGAGATCATTGCAGATTCCATAGTTTCAAGTAGGCCAGTGGAGAGAGGTTTTTCGTTTCGGAGTGTTCCTGATCATGTTTGGTCTTTCATCCACTGAGCATGCCCTGTTTCTTTTTATGGCTCAGTGGAGGGAGCAAGTTTTAGGTACTATAGTTTTTCCTGTTATAATGCCTTATTCTGCCTCTCAACTACTGAGCTTGCCTGTTCCCATCTGAATGTTCTGCCTGAACTCTTTGTTGGACTCCTGGAGCCCCTGAACCTGCCTGATTCTCTATGAATTCCTTGACCTACCTGTTCCTGTTCTGATCTGAACCCTTTCCCGGGCTACGTACTCCTGGATCTTTGAGCCAGTCTGTTCTGGACTGTTTGCCTGACCTGGCTCGGATTCATGCTTGTTCACTGGGGCTGTGGCAGCTGGTTCACTCTGGGCACATCTCGTTTTGCAGTCCATCATCTTGGTCTAAGAAGTTGGACTTAACTGATAAACCAGGTAAGTACCTGTGTTTTTCTCTCAAACCAGAGTTGCAGTGATAGTCCACCTCCCCCCACAGCCACTGCAGATCCACAGTACCGCATTTGTTATCTTTTTAAATAAAGAACTTTGAATTTTCCCACTGTCTGTCTCGCCTCAAATATTGAGTCCTACATTCTGAAGTCATTACAGAGCCCGGTTGTGCAACTTTATTCATACTGTCAAATAATGTTCAATTGTTATAACTCTAAGCAACAGTTCAGGCATGTTAGTATAGCGTACAGTACCATGTGGTCAATATCAGCTACGTGTTTACTTAAAAGGAAACACATGAAAAGATAGAAAAACATCAAAGAAATAATTTAGCTCGAAACTCTCTCTGAGTTGTGCCGGACATGTACCTCTGCCCATATTCGTTTTGGAAAGCTTGAGTTTCTCCCGCCTTTAGCAGCTGGGGAAGGCCTTCCTTTGTAGGCTCTCACAACAAGTGGTGGAAATAGTACTAAGAAACGGTACATAACTACAAGTACAAATACACAAACAAATAAATATTCTAGGAAAGTATCACACTGACATTTGTACTTCAGTATAGGCAACAAAGTACTAGCTTTTAAAAATACTATCTGAATGAACTGCAATGTAACGATTGTAAAGTATATGTACTATATTTATATTTTCTATAATACATCCATAAAGTTATTTTAATGAACAATGCTGTGGATAATGCATGTGTTATTTTTGACACTGTCAAAAATCACACTTGGGAATTGTAATTTTGGAATTTCAGGGAAGATCTACTAAGTGAAATACAATTAAGTGCAAGAAATACGACTGATTACAACTTTGAAAGTGTTTAATTCAGCATAACACATGCCATGTTTTATTCAATCACAGGTTAGCACATTGATACAAACTCACTTTGACAAACAGGCACCGATCTTTCCAACTGTGAATCAACTCCAAGATTTAACAATACATTAAAGACAGCTTTGTAATTCAGGGCTGTCAAACTTTTGTCTTTTGTGTCCTCAGCTTTTATATTTGTCTCTATTTCAATGCACCAGAATCAAATACTTTGATCATTAATAGAACTACTTCTCTGGGTCCAGGTTCAATGCAGTTTGAGCAACGTATTGTTGGAGATGAGTGCTGTGCTTTCTCTGAAAAAAAATTAGTGATTTTTATTTGTAATTTATACAAATTGGACATACACATACTGAATCAAATTAAGCATTCACATATATGTTTTGAGAACATTTATAGAAAGAATTGTTAAGTGCAATTCACTGGCAGATGATTTTCCTTATTTCAGTTCTTCCTAATTAACTAATCTATCAATATGTTTTCTTTTCTAAGAATATTGGACTCAAAACATGTTTAATATGACTATTTTTAGGCTATTATCTAGCATGACATCCTCACTCAGCACCAATAGGCCAAAGGGACACATTTTAAAAAAAAGGGGGCGTTGAATAAATTATGATCTGTGGATTAATTGCATATTCAGGGTTATATAAGACATTTAGCCTGTGTCTTGTTTTCTAATGCAGGTCAGTATTTATCCCAACTTTGCACACGTTTGATTTATTTGCAATAATAGAAACTGAAGGAGCCTTGCAGCAAGAAGGTTCTGGGTTTGATTCCCGGCCCGGGGTCTTTCTGCATGGAGTTTGCATATTCTCCAGTGGTCGTATTAACAGAATACATTTTTGAGTTGCTCTTTTAACACTCTGTCATTTCCATGGTATCAACAGCTCTGTATCCTGTGGAGGAAATCAAAAAACAAGATAGAATTATGAAGTTTTAACTAATCACCTCTTAAAATTTAAGTTTTTATTTTCTGTAAGGAAATGTAATGTAATTATAACTTATATTTTGCTTTTATTTAGCAATAATTCAGGTATAAATCGATGTAAAGAAACTTTTATAAATGACACAAACCAGGTTCCCTGCAGCAGTAAATGAAAATTAAACGGCCAGTAATGACGCAATATGCACACATGACCATTAGATGACAGAGTCTGACCAGTGAATGCCCCAAGACAATGGATTTGGCACATTGGGGAAATAAATCTGTGGATAACACAGGAATTCAAAAATTAGTGTTCAGTATTTATTCAGATGATAATTTACCCCATATTAACATATCAAATGCCTCCTTATTTCAAACGATTGGGAAAAGCCATTCGGATTTTCAGTCAGGCTCCTGTTCTCCATGATCACATTTTCAATGCATTTCCCTTTCCTGAATTCAGACATTTTCTCTAATGAATCAAAACTACTGCATTTACTTTTTATATTACACAATATATGGCATGCCATTTAGGAAATTAAGTAAATGACACAAACCAGGTTTGTGTATATTTTTAGAGAGTAAACGTAATTTCATTTCCCTTGTATGTCTTGTACATATGAAGAAAGTGACAATAAAAGTTGACTTGACTTGACTAATTCGTTGGGTTTCATCACTTTGGCGTTGACTGTCCCCTGTTCCTGTGATTTGTTGCTCCATTAGATACAGTGGGGGGTTTTTTCTGCATGTTTTGGTGGCCAACTTAACAAAACCACAGTTTTGATAACTAGATGCTTTAATGTATTTCCTGTGATGCTTGTTTTCTTTTTGTTTATCATCTGCAACAGAGGAAATGTAATCTGCCCAAATGCTTAGTGTTCCAACAATTTGTATTCCAGTGGATGATTTTATTGGAAAATACATGTCTCCTAGACAATCTTAGCGTCTATGTTTTAGGTAAACCTCAGTGTTGAGATTCCCATCTTTCTAAGCAAGCACACATAATACAAAAAGGACGACATATTGTTCTTTGAATCCTCTCTGGTTAACTCAGTTTTACTGTCTAGAATTTATGTGATTAGACAGTGCCTTAACTTCTTGGACTTGGATTTTGAGCCAAGCGGCACTTTACTTTACTTTGATAAAGTTTACCTAACTTACAAGAAAAGTTACTAGTGTAAAATCTGATCTTATTATAGGACAGTACTTTATCAAAATTTCACTTTCAATAGAGGTCAGTCCCAGGAGAAACTATTTTACTCCAGACCTGTTTAGAGATGCAATTTTTTAGAAACTAAATTTGTATAGAATAAATCTTCAGTAAATTTCCATTTCTTCCATTACTCTACAAATTTTAAGCTTCAGTATAGAAGAAAAAAACTTAAAACATATTTGTATTACAGTTGTTAAGTGACTTCAGTTAAAGATAGACATCGTTAGATTTCCTCTCAGGCCGTGGAGGTAACCCTTAGACAGTTTCTTGAAATGTACCCCCAAAAAGTCAGTAAATAATCTGGCTAAGGTATTAAATACCTTCCTCCTCTGTTGGTTTGACAACAGCCAGCCAGCTTTCAGGAGATTTCCCTGCATCAGGAATGCTGCAGTTGTAAAGTCCTTCATCAGCCTTGGAGACCTTGAAAAGGACCAAATTAGTTTCATAGGTTCCAAGGTGTGAGCCATCTTTATAGAAATCATTATTGTGCGTTTTCTTTGTGTTCCGCTTAATACAACGAAGAGTCACGTCAGATCCTTCTTTCACTGGTCGAGCAGGAACAATTAGAATCACTGCACCAGCTGAGGGGATTGTACAAGAACATTTTCAACATGTTATCTGCTGTTTCTGGGGTATTTGTATTTTTGCTGAAATTTAACATGATTGTTTTTAGTAGATTGGAAAGATTTACAGACACATTTCAAATGCCAGATATTAATAATGGCGAAAAAGAAGAAAGGACCAAGCTAAATGTGCTGCTTCTCTAAGAATAAATTATTCATGAATGCATTTTTTTGTTTAATTTGTAAAGATTAACAGTTAAATAAAATGTGGAGGATGTTCTGACGTGGTTTATCTAATGGTTTTTCTAATGATAAAAAAAATAACATTAACATTTTTATTTGTTTTGTTCCTTTAATTGTACTTCAAAAGCTCTTTAAAAAATATATTTCATTTCCAGACCTGTAACAGAGATGTTGACAGCATGGCTTCTTTTGCCTTTATCATTTTCACACCAATATTCTCCACTGTGTCTTTCTAAAGAATAGGGAATTGTGCAGGATGGAGCTGGGATGCTGCAGGGTTTAGACTCATTTGCTGGAATTATTGTGAAAAGTTTTCTCATCACTTTCCATCCATTCTTGTCTTTATGTCCCCCACAATTTATAAAGATAGACTGGTACTCAAAGAACTGAAGTCTGTCAGGAGAAATAATAGGAAAAGCTGTAAAAATGAATAAGAAGTAAATTAATTGATGGAAGCCAATATAAAAAAGCAACAGCAAGAAAACAATATATTTTAAGCTTTTTGTAACATAAATAACTTTCTGTGAAAGACAACATTATTATAAAAAAAATCTTTACTAACCAGGTGTCGTAACAGTATAACTGAGGGTAGGTTGAGTCGACAGCAAGAAACAACTATTCATAACTGTTGAGAGATGAGAAAGATCCAAACATATAAAGCACAAGTAAAACAAAAAACAAAGAAAACTGTTAGATAGATCTGTACTCACAGATATGGAAGCAGACAGCTGTGACTTCCATGACTGATGGTTAATGCTGACTGACAAGTGTCTCACATTTACACCTTGGTCATGTGCAGTTCAAAACCCGCTCTTCCTGTTTGAACTATTTCTAAGTTCAGACAAAGCATCAGGGAGATATTTTACTGCAGTTCTTGAAATATTTGCGTCAAATCTGTCGTTGTAGAAGTAACTTTTAGTGCTGTAAGTCTTGTTTTAACTGACTGGTGGTTTTCATATGGTGTAGTTTAATTTTAGGTGTAGGAGCACAACTAAAAATAATAATTCAGTACTTGCGTATTTTTCCATTACATAGAAAGGTTGCTAGTTTAATAAGTGTCCTTAAAATTGAAAAAACATGCATCTTAATAATTATAGTGCTGCAAAGAACTTGGTAGTGTTATGTACGTAGAGTGGGAGCCACTGCTGTACCATTAGAAAAAAATGAAAAG